GAGCATTTTAACAAAATTTTTTTTGTGATTCTTTTCTTTTGCCATACTGTAACCACTGGGTTATCTTCTCTGATGACTACTTTTTGGGGAAGCGCTACTTCTTGGTAAGCCTGAGGTGATTTCTTGAATATACAGTAAGGATCAGTACATAATTAGATTATGCGGAATTCCTCTGTAAGTTTCATAGCTGTTACTCCTTGTATCAAAGTGGCTAAACACGATTCACAATTTATATTTTCGCCGAACTTTGGAAACGCGTAAATTTTTTTGTTACTCCACCCCAAACTCGGATAAGCATCTTTTGTTATCTATAAGCAAAAAATGTAATTTTATTGTTTTCTTGAAAGCAAAATCTCGTAGTCTTTTCCTCGCAGCGGTGGTTTGCACAAAGTGCTGCTGTTCCAGTTGCATTTTCTTCACCTACGCATTTGTAGCTTTCTAGCTCCATCTGTCTTTTTATTACATATAAACTTTCTATCTTTATTTCAGTTATATTATACAATTCAATTTGATAAAACTATTCTCACTGCAGCGCTTTATCACACTTATTTGAAATTTCTACCGTGCGTATTTTGTTTGGGTAGGTTTCCTTGAAATTTTGGTTCCAATTATCTTTTATGTTCGGTAAAGGCTCTTTATAAAACAAACATCCCAACGCCCAATTTGAACACTTACGACTTTGCCTTCTCATATGTGATTGTAGCTTATGTTAGCGAATTATACTGGAAGGGCCGTGAACTACAGGAGCAAGAAGTAATCGTAATAACGGCTTCTACAAATTTGGCGATAGAAAACGTGATAAAACGGATATGTCAGTTCGAGCCCGAAATACCAATCAGGGGCAAACTCTTGCTACAATCACCAGTGGCAGAAAAGTTATATCCAGGGGAACCTTCTGATGAGTGGCCAGCAATATAAAGTGGCCAACAGGTTATAAGCTAATCAAGAGCGAAGTTTCAATATCACTGTGCTCTTGACTTTAAGATATATTGAACAGTGGGCCAGGAAGGACGGCAGAAAACATGAGGGAAAGGTGCTAACGTTAGCTATACAAATCACAAAACCAAAAATCGTTTTAGGTACAAAGCCTATGATCAGTAACTTTCTGACGCAGTAGAAACAGCAAGTCGGTCTGTATTAGCTATGATATTCATTGGTGGATGGAGCCAGATTGCTTGGGGAAGTTAAATTAATAGCGCTGTTAACTTACGTGTCCAATAAACGTCAATTTTTCATTACAGGCGATAGATGCCTACTACCAGCATACCCGAGAAACTTGCCTTCATCAATGATACCGTATGGCCAGACATGCGTTGTTCATCAACTACCGCTTAACCAACGAATAAAGAAAATGGAATTTGACGTCGGCTTTAGAGGCCACCCAGGATTAGTAGCACTGTTTTCAGAAGCAGCATACAATGAACAAATAAGATTAGGGCGTCCGACATTGGATTTCAAGCAGTGGGAATATTTCAATTTGCCTGAGAAGTATTGCAGGGATCTCATTCTTTTCGTGCACGTGGCCGGAAAAGAGATGTGGAGCGATGATCGCAGCCGTGGAGATGTGGAACTACGTTAAGAACAAAATATCCTGGTTCCACGTCGCAATCTTATGTTAATATGGGACTTCGGTGGTCGATATTGAGACAGTGCAGCCAGGGCTCAAATTATAGACGATTAATAATTTCAGGACCGAGAGGCGGACATTATCATTCTGGCGACAATTCGGAGAGGACGTGAAGAGGACGTGGACGAACGGCATTATCAATTTCTGTTGGACAAAAAAAGGACCACTGTCGCATTAACATGTGCGAAAGAGGGAGTTATTGTCATAGGCGACTGCAAGGTCCTCAAGCAGTCGACAGTATGAGAACAGTTCCTGACCTACTATCCAGGCTGTAAATCGAAACTGGACGATTATTATGATTGGCCGAGAAGGAAGAACAGGGAAGACCACGCATCTAGACCCCCCAAAAAAAGTGATTAAGTCGTCGGCTGTTAATTAACTCAAAACTTTTGTTTCTTTACGTATTGATTGTTGCATAAGTTTTTTTTTATTCATTCTTATTTTGAAGACTGTTGTGACTTATTGCTTAAATATAGCCGCGGTCTTGTAACACCTTCAAATATTTTATTACACTATTGTTGTTATTATTATTATTAATTATCAATTATCAATTATTTATTATTAATTATTATTATTAATACTAATATTATCATTATTATTATTATTACTAATTACTATTAATATTATTAATTATTGTTATCATTATTATTATTA